GGAGGGGACGAGGATGACGATGTAGATATGACGCCGATGCATAGAAGTTTTAGTCGCGAGTCCAGGAGGTGGCATCTTTATCCGATACTTTGGGCCACAACATTGCATCCAAATTAAAAAGAAAAAGCAAAAATTGTGTAGTGAATGTTACAAGCGAAAAAATCAAAGTTTATTCTTTTGTTTCTGGGTGGAGAATGGGATTCCGATCCATGATTTGGTTTCAACTTTTCTTTGGCTTCATGGATGAGGTGAAAAACCGAAAGCTTAAAAGGCACTGAATGTGGTCAGCCAGTAAGTTGGGGTTGGCTGTATTTGAAACCACAAAGCCCCTCGGATCGTGAGAGAGTGACGTTGTCGCTTGGTGCTTTCCTTGGCAGCACACAAAATCACTTTTGAGTGCCTCTTGCGGGGAATAGAAGGACAGATGCGGTTTGGGAAGTGGATTGGGCAAAAATTCTAATAAGTCAGTTTTGCCTCCAGCCTGTGTCTATCAGAATCTATTCAGATTTTCCCTTGATATGCTTATCGTCCTTTGAGTTGGTTTAGTTACATGCAATAGAGAAAAAGCTCATCTTTCTTTTTTTTTTTCCTTTTCTCTTTTAATTTCATTTTGTTTGCAGCCAATGATACAAGAATAGGGTTGGTCAAGGAAAGAATGTTGGGATAGCTATGGGGTATGTATAACATTCCAGCCATGGAGCCAAAAGGAAATTTCCCATTGATTCTGTCTTAAAGATGGGTGATATTCTAATTTACTTCAGTTAAATATATAAAGGTCATTGAGGGAAAAAAAATCTGATAAGCTAACAACCAATCCTTTGTAATAAACGCTGCTGAGAAAAGATTTACTAGTTGGTTTTATGTCTTTGCCTGTGGAGTTTATCTCAGATAACTCTTAACTTAGGGGAGCTTATCGAATACCTTTGTGATGAACGGTACAAAAGATGGTACAAGCCTATCACTGCTTCAAGTTAACAGCTAGTTTAGAAAAAGGCAACATTGTAACCTTTGGCTAAACTTATCCCCGCGTCCCATTTAAATAAGGTTTCTTCATGTTTTTTATCCTTGATTTTGTTGATAATGGCTGGAAAATCATGTCTCCTTAATTGTCTCATATGCGGAGAACAGGTTGTGGAAGAAGATAACACACCTAATGACGATAATCTCCAAGCTTGATTGTTGGTTAGCTTAGATTTTAGAAGGTTAACTTTGTTTGCTCTTGCAGGGTTCTGATAGAGTTGTGACCTTGTCCAACTGGGTGCCATGCCTTTGATTATCAAGACTACTAAAATGTAGCAGAGA